CGCACGGGGCAGCGGTGGCAGCTCAGGCGCTCGTCCTGCTGCTCATCTTCCTGCTATCTAGCCTGGGCAACTGCGCGGTGATGGGGGTGATCGTGAAGCACCGGCAGCTTCGCACCGTCACCAATGCCTTCATTTTGTCGCTGTCCCTGTCGGATCTGCTCACGGCGCTCCTCTGCTTGCCTGCTGCCTTCCTGGACCTCTTCATTCCCCACGGAGGTTCTGCGCCCGAAGTCGCCGCGGGGCCTTGGCGCGGCTTCTGCGCAGCGAGTCGCTTCTTCAGCTCGTGTTTCGGCATCGTGTCCACTTTCAGCGTGGCGCTCATTTCGCTGGACCGCTACTGCGCCATCGTGCGGCCGCCCCGGGAGAAGATCGGCCGGCGCCGCGCCCTGCAGCTCCTGGCGGGCGCTTGGCTGGTGGCTCTAGGCTTTTCCTTGCCCTGGGAACTGTTTGGGGGATCCCGGGAGCCCTCCTCAGTGCAGAGCTTCCATGGCTGCCTTTACCGGACCTCTCCAGACCCCGCGCAGCTGGGCGCGGCCTACAGCGTGGGGCTGGTGGTGGCCTGCTACTTGCTGCCCTTCCTGCTCATGTGCTTCTGCCACTATCACATCTGCAAGGCCGTTCGCCTGTCGGATGTGCGCGTGCGGCCAATGACCACCTACGCGCGTGTGCTGCGTTTCTTCAGCGAGGTGCGCACTGCCACCACCGTGCTCATCATGATTGTTTTCGTCATCTGCTGCTGGGGCCCCTACTGCTTCCTGGTGCTGCTGGCCGCGACCCGGCAAGCCCAGGCCACGCAGGCCCCTTCTCTCCTCAACGTGGTGGCTGTCTGGTTAACCTGGGCCAATGGGGCTATCAACCCTGTCATCTATGCCATTCGCAACCCCAACATTTCCATGCTCCTAGGGCGCAACCGCGAGGAGGGATACCGGACTAGAAATGTGGACGCTTTCCTACCCAGCCAGGGCCAGGGTCTGCAGGCCAGAAGCCGTAATCGCCTTCGAAACCGCCTAGGGGCTTGCAGCAGGATGTCCTCCTCCAACACCGCCAGTGGGGCCGGAGGTGATGTGGCCATGTGGGCCCGCAAAAACCCAGTTGTGCTTTTCTGCAGAGAGGGACCACCAGAACCTGTGACAGCAATAGCCAAACAGCCTAAAACTGAAGCCGGAGATACTAGCCTCTAAAAAGGGCTGGGATGGACAGCTTTTGAAGGCGAACTTCCACCCCTTCATTTAATGATACAAGATTCCAGGGAGAATCATGGATTTCATAAAGCCAAACATTTAAAACTAAAGAGAGGGGGCGGGTTGCCACTTTCCCCCAAACAACATAAAAACAATGTCCCCTTCTTCAGAAAGTGCCAAAAGGAATGTAAAATGCAAAAATTAAAACAATCTTAAGCCACACAACCAAGCATTGTGAACTTAAGTGCCAAAAGAAAAAAATGACCCAAATAAAATTCACAATTACTGAAAAGCTCATATTACAGGAATCACACT